CGGCGGCAGGTCTCTCGAAGAAGCTTTCCGCAGGAGCAGGAGGTTCCAGCAGAAGCACCGGCCTGGTGGCTACTATTGTGCATCTCTCTCTCTCCCTGCCGACAAATAAAAGGGTGGTTAGGAGAGGTGAAGATTGGCTGAAGGGGACACATGATGAATTTGCTACTGTTTTGACTCAATTACTATACCGTCATTGTGTTCTTTCTCCCGCCTGTACAGTTTCAAAATCACACAACAAAAACGAACTCACCTTGACCCTGGTGCGTACGGACAACTAGGGGATGTCATGCAACTTGAAAGTATATCCATTTCTAGAATCTGTTACGCAATTATACTTGGTAACCATGGCAGAAACATTTTTATGAGTTGTACTATCCGAGTGCACGGAAGAATACCATAGAGGGAAAGTGATTACAGAATCCTCCGAATACGATTAAGACGTGCTAAAACGTGCTAGGCGAGGACCTTGTGTCGTCCAAGGGTTAGGTGTGTCACGATTAGTGCGGGGCGACTCGGAGCTGGTTTGGTGCAAAAGTGTAGGCCGAGCCACACTGACACGAAGTGCTCGGGGCTGTCCTTGCTATGGGCAGCTCTACAGTATTGAATTGTATATTCATTACACTCTCCCACCTTCTAAAAAAGGTCCCCTTATACGTAGCCGAGTCTTGCAGTAGTGTGAAAAATGCCGATCTCGGTTGAAGGCGGATCCAACGGCTAAGAAAGGCGTTGACCGTCAAGCTGACACATGGCTGACCATTTGACCAGACGAATTTTAAAATGGTTGGAATGTCAGCCGTCAAGTAATGTCGATCTGACGATCGTGATTGAAGTGGCGAACTGAATCCGTGATTGAATTAAAGTCGTTGATGTACCGAATGCGAATCAGACGGTAATGATGCTGGCGCTGTTGCCGTGAATTCTAACATGATGTCAGATGTCGGTGAATCGGGAGCCGTCAATGTCAATGGAGCCATCGCGAGCTTCCGTCCTGCTGAATGTGTCAGAGGAAACTGTCAGAAAACTGCCGAGTTTAGTGCGAAAGCACCCTTTCTTCCCCCCCCCTCCCCCCCCCCCCCCCTCCCCCCCCTCCCCTCTCCCCCACCTTGAAGAAAAGGGCACTCCACCAATTTAGTACAGCTACACGGGCACGAAACTCCAACCACCCTGACGCCGAGGGTAGTCAAGAACACCAAGTGTTATGAACCCCGTCTGAATTTTAGCAGTTGCACAGTCGAAAATGTTGTCGGTGGCAAAATATCGCTGCTATAGCGCTTAAGAAAACGCCCAGGGTAAACTGCATCGACGTCCCCGGAAAGTACTGCTTTGTGTCGGAGCTTGACTGCACCCCTAAGTAATAATTTTCGTGAATAACACTTTCCCTTTGTCTTGTAGCCGCGACTGCTGCTGCAGCATCTCTAGCGACTGCCACCCCAAAATCCCCGCGTGGCAGCATCAAATCATCCGACTGCTGCAGCATCTCCAGGTGGCAGCAGTTGCTACCCAGAGCCGCTGCTATTCTGTAGTTGACGCGAGGTGTTTGTCGCTTGCTGAAAAGCGAACCCGTCCCAAAATTCTTCTGTCGTGACTCCCGATGGTTTTGGCGCGTCGTCGAACAGGGTCGTGGAAACTGGCGAAATCGTTGTAGCACATCAGCGACATTCGACGAGAAAGGCGAGGTCACGTAACTAACCGAGTGTTAGTCTTGAAAACTACATTGAAGACCCAAACTCAGGTTCTGATGACGTCAGCATCACCGGCGACTTTGTTTTAACTCGCCGAGGCCTTTTTCTAAATTCTCAGAAAACTCTCGTACAAGGGCGGAAACATACAAAATCAAATGTGAACTGCCGATGACGTCAGCTACCTTGGCGATGTTGTCGTTACTTGCCGAGAATCTCTGGGTAGGGACAAAAACAGCTGTCACCTTCTGCAGCGAAAACAAAAAACTCTCCCCCCACTTGCTGCAGAATTTCTCCCGGTGTTGTCGCTGGTAACCTCGAACAACTTCCGAATTATATGGCTACTCTTTTAACAACGAGTTTTTTCACTCGCTTAATCAAGCATCGCTGCAACTCCGCTGTTGGCACGGATACTGTCAAGCCTCAAGGCCGACTCAGTTAAAACTCATCCTCGGAACTGCTCGCCCCCCGCAAATGTCGGAAATGAAAGCACACCACGTAAATCTTGGTCGAAGGTAGGTTGTTCCCCGAATTCTCCGGTCGTGACCAGCATGCCCACACGTCGCCATTCTTCTTTTGTGCGGTTAACCACCATCGCGACCCACCAGAAAAGGGTGCTTTCAGCATGGAACCCAGTACTTTATGGGTCTACTGGGACTGAATTTCACGGAACCTAGCCCGCATCCACGCCGTCAATCTCATCGTCGAACTTCCATGACCGCTTCGAAAATTCACCGTGAAGTCCTTCGGCGAGCAAATGTTCACCCATCTCCCACCGTTTTTTTCTTATTTTACCCCCTCGACAATATCGGTGAGCCACCGTTCACCCAGCTGTCGTGTTTGTCGGATGCGGTATAACTCCGTGCTGCCCGCGATTTTTATGACATTGGATGAAGGCGCGAATGCTATCGTAGTCGGGGTGAGTTAATCGTATCAAACTCCCACCCGATCACTTCCCTGCCCACCGTGCCTATCGCATGTAAAACTCCACAGCTTCGGGGGCTCCGTCTTTGCCGTTATACCGTCCTCGGGTAAGACCGTTGAATTAGGAGAAACGCCGCAAGCTGCCTCTATCTTTTCAACTCCGACTTTTTCGGCGGAGTAAACGTTGCCGATGGCCTGTTTTTGTCGGGGCTGAAAACACTGTTGCACCACTCCACGCGCCACTTGAAACTTATTCTTCTACACCCAGTCGAACTAGCGCAATACTTGCGCTATTTTGACCAGCACATGGCTAAACACAGAGCCCCACCTTTTCGTTCAGGGCCAACAAGTCTTATAACGCCTTCGAGGCACCTGGTGTGAGGCATGTGAGCCATTGTAAGACTTTGGCCGGTAGGGAGCTTGATCTGCTACTGCCGCTTAGCCGCGAAACCCCGACCTGAGCAAAAAGTTTTTTTGGTAGGCCGTTCTCACGCCTCCTGAAGCCGAAACCCGTTTCTCTCGTCGGACCCGTATTTGACGCAACTCCATGTATTGTAGCCGGTAGAACCCCAGAAACTCGCGGGTCTATACGCTGCGTCGATCCGTTGTTCCGTGGTGTACTGGGCTATCTGCAAACACTGCTACCTCTGGCCGGAGGGAACTGTTCCGCTTGAAGTGCAGAATCGGCTACCACTGTTGCTCCGAAATTTTGGCCGATTTATCATTTTGCTAGAAATAGTAGTCACCCAAGCCTGAACAGTCCGGTCGTAGGCGGCCTTTTTCGAGGTTTTTGGTGGTCTGAAAAAACGACTTCCGTCTCACACTGTGCCGCTCGTGCCGAACAACGCTCACGACGCATCCTCCTGCCAGCAACACCCCCGCACGCCGCCTCTCCTCGCCGTCGTTTTTTCTAACGCAAGTCATAATGCGCCTGGCTTGCTCGGCCAGCAGTCGTTTTCCACATGCTGCTACTCCGAAATCTTCGCGTTCAGCGACAACGATCGCCACTTGCCGAAGACCTCCAATAGCCCGTGCGCAACATGACAAAAACGCCCCAACGCCATTCACCGCATGTAGCAGTTCCGATTTTATCGTGCGCAGTTGACGACCATATGCAGAACGTCAACTCACACCATGTTCGCCTCCGACAACTTCGGACGTGCACTGACGGCGATCTTGTCGACATCAGCTGCCACACAAATTAACTCCGAAGCTGACGTAAACTCAACGCAATTTACTCACGCATTAAATGCGACGACAGCAAAAGCTGTCCGCCACCCGGGGGAGGGAGGCCATGGCCCTTCTCGACCATAGAGGGCAAGGATCCGGCGGTGCCGAAGGAGAGCCTGGTATATTAATGGCCGCTAGGAGCAACTACCCGTTCTCCCGGCCGGCTAGTGCACTGCTCGTGGACCCCATGGCATCTGTTCTTGTCCCCCTCCCCTCCCCCCCCCGAGGGGTATTACACTCTAAAAAGCGGGGTGAGCTAGGAAAGTACCGTATGGCCCCGGATATAGGCGCCGTCCGATTAAAGGCGCCGGCGCTTATATCTGGAGCATGGCGCTTATGGCCGTTCCTCAATTATAAGCGCCCCTCCAAAAAGACCTATACTTATTATAAGCGCATGTACAGTTTTTACTTGAATATTTTGTTTAAAACAGTAGCGAATTCCATTTTTACAAAGAGTCCAAAATCATTGTCGCTTTCTTTGACTCGCGAAGACCTGACTGACTGCGCTTCCAGTCTGGATGTGCTGGCATGCTTGTAGAATGACGCGAATTTGCCCGAGTGCAGGAAGCAGAATCGCTTCCGAGCGATTCTGGTTTGAGATGCTATATTGTTTCGACTCGGTTGAAGTGGCAACAATGAAAGGTAGAATTTGGTACCCTAAAGGTATAAAATTGTATTTGTCATTATATAAGCGCCGGCGCTTATGGCCGTTACTCAATTACAAGCGCCCCCCCTCAAAAAAATGAATTTATTATAAGCACATATGCGCATATATCCAAGGTGATACGGTAGCTCTGAGACCAAGAATATGAGTTGTACTATCAGAGTGCGCGCAAGAATACTATAAAGCGGAAGTGATTTCATAATTCTCCGAATACAATGAAAGTAGCGAGAATGTTTCGGGCAAAAACTTGCTAGGCGAGGACCTCGTGTGCCGTGCGAGGGTTGGGTGTTCGCGATTGGTGCGGGGCGACTCGGGGCTGGTTCGGTGCGAAAGTGTAGGCCGAGCTACACCGACGCGAAGTGCTCGGGGTTGTCCTCGCCAAGGGCAGCTCTACAGTAATGAATTGTTTATTCATTACAAATACGTAGAATCAGACGGACATTCGGTTTGCGTTTCAATGCGAATTCGGGAGTGTCAGGTGTGTGCATACACGAATCCAAGCGTCATGGCTGATACACAGCCATCCCCGATAGAAGCCTCTGCCACCAAAGAGCAGACGCCTTGGGTGTTCTCTTCAGTATATTGGTGTTGCGGTCCACATGCACGAGGCCGAAGCGGCGTGAGTACCCCATCTGCCACTCGAAGTTGTCCATCCACGACCATGCCATGTACCCCCTCACATCCGCCCCTTGCCTGCCAGTCATGTGTGGAGGGAGAGGGGTGAGATGGGGGGGGGGGGACGAATGCATGTCAGCATGCGCCTGGTGACGTCAGCATGCATTGATAATGTCAGATTGTGTCTGATGATGTCAGCTTGTGTCCGATGATGTCAGCACGCTGAAAACGATGTTGGCATATGTGGAATGCAGTGAGGACACATGCAACGATGACAGGATGCATGGGGAGGTTTGAGACGCGATGCCATGACAACTGATGCCATGACATGGCAGCGAGCACCTCAAGAGCCAACTGCATGAGTGAGCAAGAGGGCCTCAACTTGTTGTTTCTCAGCCTATCCCTCACATGGACAGTGGAACTTCAATACAGTCCCCCTCTTCCTCCCTTCATGCAAAGCCTGTGGTAGCCATTTCTGATTTGGGAATAGAGCACCAACTTACCATTGGCTTGGACGAATGCCCAGCTGTCATAACTACGTGACTCTCGCCACCATAGCTGTACTGCATGTGTCCTTGATGGATCATGCTCGCTCCCACACTTGAGACGTCCCTAACACCGACAGGCAGTGGCGGACAGCCATGGGGCAGCAAGGTGCATGCCACTGAAAAACAGGTGCTACTGCTGTGGCTACGCCAGTCTGACTCGCCTGATTGTGCTGAGAAGGCGCAAAAGGCACGCATGCTAGGGGCAGATGTGGTGCCATCACGTGTTAACACCAGTCTGACTCGTGTGGTGAGAGAGAAGGCGCTCATGTCTTACCTGATGGCGCTCATGTCTTACCTGATGGCGCTCATGTCTTACCTGATGGCGCTCATGTCTTACCTGATGGCGCTCATGTCTTACCTGATGGCGCTCATGTCTTACCTGATGGCGCTCATGTCTTACCTGATGGCGCTCATGTCTTACCTGATGGCGCTCATGTCTTACCTGATGGCGCTCATGTCTTACCTGATGGCGCTCATGTCTTACCTGATGGCGCTCATGTCTTACCTGATGGCGCTCATGTCTTACCTGATGGCGCTCATGTCTTACCTGATGGCGCTCATGTCTTACCTGATGGCGCTCATGTCTTACCTGATAGCGCTGACAAGGTGCGAGAGGCACTTGAGGGCACGCGAGGCAGCACAACTTCACAATGTGATGCAAATCGCTCATGGCGATATGCGCGGTGGAGGGGGCCAGGGACGATCCTAAAACGGCTTGAGGTAACGGGAGTCAAACGTACCTGATGGCGCTGAGGAGGTGAGAAAGGGACGCGTGGTAGTAGAGATTGTCAAACATTGCATGTTTATATTATGTAGGCTGTAGTGGGTTACACCTTAGGGGGTACTCAAAGTTAGGGTTTCCTACTTGTACCAAACTCTGTGCTAGTTCATCCCATTCCTGCTCAGTTATTCTGACATGGTATCAGAGCAGGTCCATCGCTAGGACCGCTCTTAGGGCCCACCGCTACCTACCTACCTACCTACCGTGCGCCTCTTGCGCCTACGCGCTCTCGTGCGCCCTACCCTACGTGCGCCCTCGTGCGCCCTACCCTACGTGCGCCCTCGTGCGCCTTTCTCTCCTTGTGCGCCTTCGTGCGCCCTCGTGCGCCCTCGTGCGCCCTCGAGCTGCCCCTGCAGGTCCGTCAGGCCACCGAGCCGTCGCTGCAGGCCTGTCAGGCACCTGAGCCGCCGCTACAGGCACGTCAGGCACCCGAGTCGCCGCTGCAGGCCCGTCAGGCCCCCGAGCCGCCGCTACAGGCCCGTCAGGCCCGAGAGCCGCCCCTGCAGACCCGTCAGGCCACGCGCGCCGCCCCTGCAGGCCCTAGCCGGCCGCCGCGTCGCTCTGCCCGCAGCGTCGCCGCCTCTCCGCGGCGTCGTCGCCTGCCCGCGTCGAAGCCGCCTGCCCGCGACGTCGATCCCTGCCCGCGGCGCCGTCGCCTGCCCGCGGAGACGTCGCCTGCCCGCGGCGTCGTCGCGGCGTCGCCACCTGCCCGCGGAGTCGTCGCCTGCCCGCGCCACATGCACGCGGCGTCGCCACCTCCTCGCCGCGTCGACCTGCCCGCGGCGTCGCCACCTGCCCGCCGCGTCGACCTGCCCGCGCCGTCGCCACCAAACCCTAATCCGTCGCCCTGCCCGCGGCGTCGCCACCTGCCCGCCGCGTCGCCCTGCCCGCGCCGTCGCCACCTAACCCTAATCCGCCTCTCGCCCCTGGAGCAGCCGCCACTGCAGTAGCAGCCCCTGGAGCCGCCGCCACTGCAGCAGCAGCCCCTGCAGCCGCCCGCCACTGCGTCAGCAACCACTGGAGCCGCCCACCACTGCAGCAGCCGCCCCTGGAGCCGCCCGCACCTGCAGCAGCCGCCCCTGGAGCAACTGCCGCCGTAGCCCGGTCTAGCTCTGCAGCAGCTGCCGCGGAGCTTCCTACTGCGCCTGCCACGCCGACCACTGGTGAGCATTGCCCTGCCAGCACTGCTACCGCTGCTACTGCTACTACTGCCGTTTCTACTCCCACTCCCGCTACTCCTGCTGCTCCTGACGTGGCCAGATGCAGCCACAGGACCGTGCGCGTGAGTCCCTCACGCTCCAGCAGGCTCGTGAGTGGTACGCCAGTTGGGGCTATCGAGGTGGCCGTAGTGGTAGTCGCTCTGACGTGCGTCGTTCGGGAGCCCCTGGTAGTGGACAGGTGCAGCAGCCGTGCCCTCCTACGGTCCAGCAGGCTCGTGAGTGGTACGCCGGTTTGAGCAGTCGGGGTGGCCGTAGTGGTAGTCGCTCTGGCGTCCGTCGTTCGGGAGGCTCAGGTAGTGGACAGGTGCAGCAGCCGTGCCCTCTTCTGGTCCAGCAGGCTCGTGAGTGGTACGCCGGTTTGAGCAGTCGGGGTGGCCGTAGTGGTAGTCGCTCTGGCGTCCGTCGTTCGGGAGGCTCAGGTAGTGGACAGGTGCAGCAGCCGTGCCCTCTTCTGGTCCAGCAGGCTCGTGAGTGGTACGCCGGTTTGAGCAGTCGGGGTGGCCGTAGTGGTAGTCGCTCTGGCGTCCGTCGTTCGGGAGGCTCAGGTAGTGGACAGGTGCAGCAGCCGTGCCCTCTTCTGGTCCAGCAGGCTCGTGAGTGGTACGCCGGTTTGAGCAGTCGGGGTGGCCGTAGTGGTAGTCGCTCTGGCGTCCGTCGTTCGGGAGGCTCCGGTAGTGGACAGGTGCAGCAGCCGTGCCCTCTTCTGCTCCAGCAGGCTCGTGAGTGGTACGCCGGTTTGAGCAGTCGGGGTGGCCGTAGTGGTAGTCGCTCTGTGAGTGAGGCAGCCGCTCTCGGTGCCAGTACGTCTGTTGCCCTCGGAGCAGGTGAGGCTACCACTCCCGGTACTCGCGTGTCTGCTACTCCAGATACTGGTGAGCCTACTGCTCTAGGTGCTAGTGCGTCTGCCGCTCCAGGTGCTCGCGTGTCTGCTACCCCAGGTGATGGTGAGGCTGCTGCCCTAGGTGCTAGTGCGTCTGTGCCCCCTGGTACTGAGTCGACTGCAGCACTGCACACCTTCACACTGGACTCAGGTGCTTCTCGCTCTTTCTTTCGTGACCGCACTGTCCTTGAGCCACTCGCTCGGCCAGTTGCTGTCTCTCTTGCTGACCCCTCAGGGGGTCCGGTCATTGCGACCTCCTCCACTGTCCTTCCTTGTCCGGCGGTCCCGTCCGGCACGCTGTCAGGTCTCTACCTCCCCTCGTTCTCTACGAACTTGGTGGCAGGTAGTGCGCTCCAGGACGGGGGTGTTCACCAGTTCACCCCTGCCTACGAGCGCGTGACACACTGCACGTGTGCTCGGACGGGTCGCCACCTGGCTACCTTCACTCGGGAGCCGGGGTCGGACCTTTACACACTGACCACTGTGTCCCCTCAGGTAGCTGCGTCTGCGTCTGCGTCTGCGTCTGCGTCAGGTCAGCTGTCCGCCCCCTGCTCGTGTCGCTCTCTGGCACATGAGACTGTCCTTTGGCACCACCGCCTTGGTCACCCGTCTGTGCAGCGCCTTCGGGCCATGCACAAACGGGACCTTGTTGCTGGTCTTCCCAGGGTGCTCCCTCCCCTTCCCGACTCCCCTGCTCCTGACTGCATTCCCTGTGTCGAGGGGCGGCAGCGCGCCGCTCCTCACTCCTCCTCCTTTCCCCCGACGACTGCTCCCTTGCAGACGCTCCACATGGACGTGTGGGGCCCAGCCCGCGTCCGTGGTCAGGGTCAGGAGAGGTACTTCCTGATAGTTGTTGACGACTACTCGCGCTACACCACGGTCTTCCCCTTGCGCGCCAAGGGTGACGTCCCTGGTGTTTTGATCCCCTGGATCAGCCGAGCCCGTCTCCAGCTAGCCAAGCGCTTTCACTCGGACTTTCCTGTCCTGCGCTTGCACTCTGACAGGGGTGGTGAGTTCGCCTCCGACCTCTTGGCAGCCTACTGTGCTGAGCACGGCATTGAGCAGTCGTTCACGCTTCCGGCCTCTCCACAGCAGAATGGGGTCGCTGAGCGCCGCATTGGCTTGGTCATGGAGGTCGCTCGTACCTCCCTGACCCATGCGGCTGCTCCCCACTTTCTGTGGCCGTTTGCGGTCCGGTACGCAGCGCATCAGCTCAACCTCTGGCCCCGTGCCTCCTTGCCGGAGACTTCCCCGACTCTACGGTGGACGGGAGAGGTTGGCGATGCGTCGCGTTTCCGGGTCTGGGGATCTCGAGCTTTTGTCCGCGACACGTCCGCGGACAAGCTCTCGCGTCGCGCTGTTCCCTGTGTCTTTCTTGGCTTTGTTCCCGACGCGCCTGGTTGGCAGTTTTACCACGTCACCTCGCGCCGGGTTCTGGCCTCTCAGGACGTCACTTTTGACGAGTCCGTCCCCTTCTACCGCCTCTTCCCCTACCGCACTGCCCCGCTCCCCCCCCCGCCTCTCTTCCTCGCTCCAGGTGCTGAGGTACCAGACCCCCTCCCCCCTCAGGGTGCCGCTCCCTCAGGTGTGTCCCAGGTAGACCCGGGTGAGCCTGTCGAGGTAGCTGTTGACTCGCGTCCTGCGTCTGGGGGTGCTGAGCCTGGGAGTACTGCGTCTGAGGGTGCGGAGCCTGGGGGTGCTGAGTCTGGAGGTGCGGAGCCTGGGGGTGCTGAGCCTGGAGGTGCGGAGCCTGGAGGTGCGGAGCCTGGGGGTGCTGAGTCTGGGGGTGCTGAGTCTGGGGGTGCTGAGCCTGAGCGTGCTCCACCTGGAGGAGCCCTCTCCTCCCAGCAGCTGCAGGAGAGGTACCTCGAGTACTGCCGCCTCCCGAGAGGTGCTTCTGGAGCTCGTCCCGGTACTTCCCCTCCTACCCAGGAGCTCCCCCCCATTCAGGTGATCCGCGAGTGGTACACGCGGCGCTGCAGTCTTCGTAGTGGTGCTCCTGGTGCTGCGGACCCGAGCAGTGGTGCTGTTGCTGGTGCTGAGGACCCGGACGCTGGAGCTGCTGCTGGTGCTGAGGACCTGGGGGCTGGAGCTACTGCTGGTGCTGAGGACCCGACCGGTGGCGCTGCTGCTGGTGCTGAGGACTCGGGCGTTGGAGCTCCTACTGGTGCTGAGGACCCGGGCGTTGGAGCTGCTGCTGGTGCTGAGGACTCGGGCGTTGGGGCTGCCACTGGTGTCCCTGCTGCTTCTGGAGACGCTGCGCGGCCGCGACCGTACTTCGTACCGCTCCTTCAGCAGGTTCTTGGTCAGGCTCCTCCTCCTAGTCCTCCTCCCTCCGTCGAGTGTCCTCTGCCTGTCCAGCCGCAGTCACAGTTACCGCCTGCCTCGCCTCTCCCTGCTCCCTCCCCTTACGCTGGTCCCACAGGAGGTCTTACAGAGCGTCGTGAGCCTGAGTCTCGTCCTGCGTCGCCTGTTCGTACTGCTCGCACTGGTCGTCGTGTCCCACGTGAGCGTCCTCCTCCTGTCCCTGGCACTCACTACATGACTCTGCGTCCCTCCACTGCTCCGCAGCGTGTCCCGCTGCCGTCTCCTCCTGCGTCCTCTCTTCCTACTCTTCCTGACCCGGAGTCTGACTCCCGTCGTGCTGCCAGTCCCACTGTTACGCGTCTCCTCGCTACAGTTGTCACTGACCCGACCTTTGAGTCCTCTGCTGCGTCTGCTCTGGTCGCTGAGTTGGTTGACTTTGCTGCTCGCTGTCGCCTAGACTACGCTGCCAGCCTTGTCGCTAGGTCTGAGTCTGAGTCTGTCAGTCCTCCGTCCGTCGGGGGTGAGTGTGCCCTCGGCACGGACGTCCTTGAGGACAGACAGGAGGAGTTCCACTGCCTTGCTGCTGCTTTGCCCCGTCTCGTGTCCTTGCTAGTTGCCCCTGAGGGAGACCCGGATGCACCAGACATCCCGACCCCACGCTCTTACGCTGAGGCGATGGCGGGTCCCTACTCCTCTCAGTGGCAGACAGCCATGGACGCAGAGATGGCCTCCTGGAAGTCCACAGGCACCTACGTAGACGAGGTTCCCCCTCCTGGGGCGAACATCGTCAGTGGCATGTGGATTTTCAGGGTGAAGCGGCCGCCGGGTTCTCCACCTGTCTTCAAGGCGCGCTACGTGGCTCGAGGCTTCAGTCAGCGAGAGGGAGTAGACTTCTTTCAGACCTTCTCCCCCACCCCGAAGATGACTACTCTTCGGGTGCTGCTGCACATAGCCGCTCACCGCGACTACGAGCTTCACTCTCTTGACTTCAGCACTGCTTTCTTGCAGGGCAGCCTGCACGAGGAGATCTGGCTGCGCCGCCCCCCTGGCTTCACTGGGTCAGTTCCTCCTGGCACCCAGTGGAGGCTTCAGCGGCCGGTCTACGGTCTCCGCCAGGCGCCACGTGAGTGGCACGACACACTGAGGACGACACTTGCGGCTCTTGGGTTCGCTCCCTCTACTGCTGACCCGTCGCTGTTTCTACGCACCGACACCTCGCTGCCGCCGTTCTACATCCTCGTGTACGTCGACGACTTGGTCTTTGCCACTGCTGACACCGCGGCACTCGCTCACGTGAAGTCGGAGCTGCAGAGGAGACACACGTGCACAGACCTGGGTGAGCTGACGAGCTATCTTGGCTTGCGGATCACCCGGGACAGAGCACGGCGCACCATCACCCTAACTCAGTCACACATGGTGCAGCAGGTTCTCCAGCGCTTCCGCTTCACGTACTCCTCGCCTCAGTCCACTCCTCTGCCTACCGGTCACTCGCTCTCAGCTCTGCCTTCGGATGAGTCCGTAGAGCCGAGTGGCCCGTATCCAGAGCTTGTGGGCTGCCTCATGTACCTGATGACCTGCACTCGACCTGACCTTGCATACCCTCTTAGCATCCTAGCACGCTATGTCGCTCCTGGCCGTCACCGGAAGGAGCACATGGATGCTGCTAAGAGGGTGTTGCGCTACTTGTGCAGTACGTCGGGCATGGGGCTTGTGCTTGGAGGGCGAGACCGGGTTGTTCTCACAGGGCACTCAGACGCTTCTTGGGCAGACGACCAGGCTACTCAGCGGTCGTCCCAGGGTTACACCTTCAGCCTTGGCTCTGGCTCAGTTTCTTGGCGTTCTACTCGCTCTTCTTCTGTTCTCAGCTCCAGTTGTGAGGCTGAGATCTACGCCACAGCCATGGCTGCTCAGGAGCTACGCTGGCTGACCTACCTGCTGACCGACCTCGGAGAGCGGCCTCGTTCTCCTCCAGTGCTGTACGTCAACAACAAGGCTGCCATTGCCTTGTGTGAGGAGCACAGACTGGAGCACAGAACGAAGCACATCGCTCTGCGGTACTTCCTTGCTCGAGAGCTGCAGCAGCGTGGTCAGCTTTGTCTGCGTTACGTGGCCACGGAGGCCAACACTGCTGATGTGTTCACCAAGGCGCTTCAGCCTTGTGACCATCAGCGCTTTTGCACGCTGCTAGGCCTTGTACCTACTGGGCCTCACTTGCTTACCTCTTGACCTTGCTTGTACTGTGATCACTATATATATATGCCTACTTGTTTACTTTTGCTAGGTTGTGATCACTGTATCTCTTGCTTTGTTATAAACCTGCATGTGAACTGGTCTTGTGACCGCTTGCTTGTGCTCGGAATTTGTGTGGAATCCTTGAGATCCACCCTGAGCTTGCTTTGCTTTGCTTTGACTGGTCTTGTGACCCTGTGGTTGTCTCCCACTGCGCCTATGGGGGTGTGTCAAACATTGCATGTTTATATTATGTAGGCTGTAGTGGGTTACACCTTAGGGGGTACTCAAAGTTAGGGTTTCCTACTTGTACCAAACTCTGTGCTAGTTCATCCCATTCCTGCTCAGTTATTCTGACAGAGATGCCATGGGAATTGCTTGTGACAGTGTGTAGCGTGGGAGGGGGGGCTGTGAATTATACCAGAACCGCTTGGTAATGTGCGAGTGAAACGTACCTGATGGTGCGGAGGAGGTGGGAGAGGTACGCGTGGTAGAAGCGGATACGATGCAGGTCACTGGTGGCCAGCGTGCAGGGAAGAGGAGAGGCAGTGACTACACCAAAACCGCTTGCTAACCCCAGCCCGACTCACCCTATTGCATTGAGAAGGTGTGAGAGGTACGCGTGATAGTAGCGAATGCGGTGCTGGTCACTCGTGGCCACGTGGAGAGGCAGCGATGGGTCGTCCTCCTCATCTAGACCTGCAGGGATGTGTGGAGGTGTGAAGGAGGGTGGGGATAGGTGGGAGGATGGAGGGGAGAAGTGGAAAGGGGTGAGCCAGAGAGGGTTGGCTTGCGTGGCTCACTCGTTCTCCTCATTGGGCCCTGCAAGATGGAGGATGAGGGCTCAAGAGAGGAACGAAATATGATCATTCTGAGGTGACAGGGGACCTCAGTGGCGGTGGTGTGAGGCAAACCAAGGGAGTTATATGTGCAGGCCGGTGGTTGAGCGATGAATCAGAGAGGAGCGAGAAGGACAGGACAAGACAGAACAAGATCCAGACAGCAAGGCGACCTTCAGCGCCTCCCTAATCCTTAAAGGAGAATTTGGTGAACATGCACGGCAATTGCGATGGCATAAACGCTGCACGTACACTGCACTATGTGGCCCCTTTATTACCATTCTCTGTGATGTAGATGGGTGGTGCCCCATACGTGGTGGTGATGTGCATGAGCAGCTTTTGAAAGCCCCACGGCACCTCGTACAGCCAGGGGGATGCAGCCTGGCGTGACGCAGGTTGGTAGGTGTGCATGGGGAGAGGGAAGGGGGGAGAAAGGGGGTGAGCAGGTTGGTAGGTGTGCATGGGGAGAGGGAAGGGGGGAGAAAGGGGGTGAGCAGGTTGGTAGGTGTGCATGGGGAGAGGGAAGGGGGGAGAAAGGGGGTGAGCAGGTTGGTAGGTGTGCATGGGGAGAGGGAAGGGGGGAGAAAGGGGGTGAGCAGGTTGGTAGGTGTGCATGGGGAGAGGGAAGGGGGAAGAAAGGGGGTGAGCAGGTTGGTAGGTGTGCATGGGGAGAGGGAAGGGGGGAGAAAGGGGGTGAGCAGGTTGGTAGGTGTGCATGGGGAGAGGGAAGGGGGGAGAAAGGGGGTGAGCAGGTTGTGGAGTGCTCTCAGGCACCTCAACTCGTACGGCCAAGGTGATGCCGCCTGCAGGTGATAGGTTGGCGTGCGTGCACTGATCGGGATAGAGGGGCGAACAGGCGGGTGCACATGGCGTGAAGCCATGTGTAGCTGGTGAAGCCATGTGTAGCTGGTGAAGCCATGTGTAGCTGGTGAAGCGCGTTGAGGAAGGAAAGCAGCAGAGAGATGGGACACGGGTGCAGGATGGGAGGTGTGGGCGAGTGACAGGTGGGCAGCACTGAGTGACCCACAGATTGGCAATTGCGATGGCATGAAAACACATCGGCGGAGAGCAAGGGTGCATTCATGACAGAGTTGATCCAGGTGAAAGGGAGGCGAGAAACAACATGCCTTTCTAATAGAATTCAGGGGCTTTAAGAATCAGGAGGAGACGGGAGGAGACGGAAGGAGAGGAGAGGAGAGGTGAGGAGAGGAGGGGAGGGGAGAGGAGAGGGGAGGGGAGGGGAGGGGAGGCGAGGGGAGGGAAGGGGAGGGGAGGGGAGGGGAGGAGGGGAGGGGAGGGGAGAGGAGAGGGGAGGAGAGGAGAGGAGAGGAGAGGAGAGGAGAGTGGAGGAGAGCAGAGCAGAGGAGAGCAGAACAGAGGGGGTTGAATCACCTGTTGGCCAATCAGGCGGCCATCACGTTCAACTGCCATGTGATTGATTGCAGTGCCACGTGTGGAAGAGTGCAGAGCAGAGGAACGGCATGGAAAACCATGACGTGGACATGCCAAGGGTTGTGTGATGCATGCACGCATGGAAGGGGGACACGCATGGAAGGGGGACACGCATGGAAGGGGGACACGCATGGAAGGGGGACACGCATGGAAGGGTGACACGCATGGAAGGGTGACACGCATGGAAGGGGGACACGCATGGAAGGGTGACACGCATGGAAGGGGGACACGCATGGAATGGTGACACGCATGGAAGGGGGACACGCATGGAAGGGTGACACGCATGGAAGGGTGACACGCATGGAAGGGGACACGCATGGAAGGGGGACACCCATGGAAGGGCGACACGCATGGAAGGGGGACACGTATGGAAGGGGGACACGCATGGAAGGGGGACACGCATGGAAGGGGGACACGCATGGAAGGGGGACACGCATGGAAGGGGGACACGCATGGAAGGGGGACACGCATGGAAGGGGGACATGCATGGAAGGGGGACACGCACACAGGCAGGGAAACCTGTGTGAAAGGTGGTGATGGCATGGAGGTGCATCTTGTAGACATGCCATGAGCATTGTGATGCATGCATGGAAGGGGGGAACATGCACTGGTAGAGAGAGAGAGAGAGAGGACAAAGCAAAAAAACAAAACAAAAAAAGGCCCACCTGAATCAGCATTCATGAGGACCACATGCTTCTGCCGAAGGATACAGAAACAGCCCTACATTCGTGGCTAACAGAGTGCGAAGCGGCGCTGCCTGAGGCAGCACGGGAAATTTTAGAGAAGGAGAGGATAGACCCGGCGGGTATAAGGCTACAGCACGCCCTCTCAGTGCAGGTCCAGGGGGGAAGATACGCTAAGCAGGTCCTGGCGTCACGGCAGATGGCACCGAATCCGTTGTGTGGGCATACCCAACGCCTCATCTCACTGACCGGCTATGCAGCAGGGGATTGGCTGCTGGCTATCCCAATTGAGTCAACACGGCGTATTGGACCCGAGCACTTCGCAAATGCGGTCCGCTTTCGGTTGGGCCTGCCTTTCGCAACACGGGCAAAGTGTGATTGCCCAAAACACGTCGAGATTACTGACCCGCGTCTGCCTAACCACCTGTTTCGCTGCGGCACCGGGAAACACAGGATCAACACGCATAACGAGCTTCGGGATGCCTGCGTCAGCATGGCGCAGGACGCGGGCTTCATTGTTCACACGGAGTCCGCGGCCTACTGCCCAGTAGACGAGCAGACGGCGGACCTAACAATGACGGACCGGAGCTCGGGGGCCGTCTATATCTGTGATGTAACCATCACAGACCCGATTAGTACCAGAGATAAGAAGGCTGCCAAGGGGAGGGGGTAGGCAGCACGGGAGCAAGCGGATAAAAATATTAAGCACTATGCGAGCCGGCCTGACACGGTGGGCTTCTTCCCCCTTGTGGTTGAGACCTACGGGTGCCCGTGCGCGGAAGTGCCCGTGTTCCTGAAACTGCTAGCAGACTCTGCTGCTAGGCGTCACTTCAACGCCGAACCTAACTCATTTCATGCAGCTAGATTCCTCCACCTTTTCAGGCAGAGGTGGTCCGTGGCGCTGCAGAGGGCCCAGTCGGTGGGATTCCTCATGAAGACATGTCAGGCAGCCATGGCAGAGCACCCACCAGTTGGGGGGACGCAGCATGCGCTCCACCTGGGTGATTGTCTCACCGTGATAGAGCCCCTGGTGGAGGTTTAGGGGTGGTTGACCGAGAGTGTTGGTTAGGATGCTTGGTAGTATGTTTTCTTAGTGTGCTTTTAGGCTTGTCTATCTTCTCCTTACTTGCATGCTTGTACCTTGCTGCTATATCAATACAAGGACCATTAGAGAGAGAGAGGACTTAGCCTCTGCCCTCCTGCCCCCTGACCCTAGTCTCCTAGCTATATAAGAGTCCCTTCGGGACCCCTTTCCCTCATTAGTTCATTTGGTTTCAGTTTCTCGTAGGCGCTCGCGTGCGCGGCCTTCGGCCGCGTGCTTTCGAAGAGGCAAGGACAAGCCGGGAAGACAATAAGAACACACTTCAGGACAACAATGGCCAACGGTCTAAACAGCCAGAACCCAACATGCAACGAGTCTACGTGCGGCGTGTGGCCGACACTACATCAGATGGGCATCCAGCGCCGCGAGGATACCACGCATGGTCCTCCACAGTTGCTGGACCACTAACGCGGTCGCGGCGACTACTTCAATCCTGCCACCGGCCTGGAGGTGTGCAGTCAGACCCTGGACCGTCTCGTCCAGCTGCGAGACCGCAACGCCTCCCAACGCGGGCGCTGCCAGCACGGGTAGGAGGAGGAAGGCAATTTGCGCAGCCGCAGCCAAGCAATCTGCTCGCGCCCCATGACCGAGAGTGCTCCCTGGGCTCCGTAGGATGGCAAAATGGGAGTTCACCAGAATCAGTGTCAGGGCCTGCTGGCACTCCACCAAGCGCCAGATCTGGGCGAGAGTCGCCCTGGGAACTTCGGCCACTCCAGTGGTCAGAACCGCGGCCGGAAGAGGAAGAGGGGGAGGAGGCTGCGTCGATGGAACATCTGCGAGCTGTTGCGGAGGAACGAAGGCCCCCCTCGCCCCTCTGCCTCCCACTCCCACAAATCCCGTGTCCGGAAGAGGGGGAATCCAGGGCAGAGGGGGATAGGGGGCGGCAGAAACAGGACGCAAGGGGACAGGCGGAGCACGATCACCGCCAGGAGCAGGAACCGGCGGGTACGCCGATGCATGTGGCGCAGGAGCAGCGTGGGGCGCGGACGGAGCTGGCACATTCACAGAAGCGGGTGCGGGCGCAGGAGCGGCGGGAGCCAGAGAGTTGCCAAGATGCGGTGCGCCATTCAGAGCATTGCGCATCGCCGCAGCTAGCATCCTCGGGAAATCCTCCCGCAGCTGCTGCATCTCGCTCGTCCCACCGCGCTCGCGATCGAGACTTCCTCACCAGCCACCGCGGCCACCGCGGTGCGCCGAGCGATACGACGAGGAGGGGCGACGCCGAGGAGAACCTCGCCCCCGATGCGCTGCCGCAATGCCCCCCATGGCACCGCGTAACTGTGACTCCGCGAGCTGCTACGCGACGGGATGTGCCGGTGCAGCCGACAAGGGCAACCAGGTGAGCTGAGCCGGGGTTGGCGCCCACCGCTGTCCCCGGCGCAGTGCCACCAGCGACAGCTTGGACAGGCGGGGGCGCCATAAGCGTTGGCTGCGCAACGGGATCCGGCGCGGCGGACGCGGGAACAACAAGCGGAAGGCTCGGCGGGGGAGCCGGAGCCAGCGGGACCGGAGCTACGGACGTCGCAACAGCAGCAGGAGGAGCCTGGGGGGCAACAGGTGCAGCGGGATTTGCAACAGCAGCAGCAGAGGCTAGAGGCGGAGCAACCACGCTCTCGGCGGTGTGACCCTGGTCCACCGCAGTCTTCTCCATTTCAGTCGCCATTACGGCGAACGCGTCGGCAGCAGGAGATCGAGGACGCACGGGTGCGTCAGAACGTGGGGGGAGTTAGTCGAGGAAGTCCAATGCTGGCCGCGGCCAGTGCGCGGATGCGTGGTGGCCGAGCCGGAGGTCGTGGCCGAGGTCAGAATATGCGTGACGGCGGTCCGGAGAACGCGTTCCCGGCGGCTAGGAGAAGGGCTTTAACCGTGCTGGAAAGAGCTAATGAGGCAGATGCTCTTTCGGGGAGTATTTATGAGGCGGAGGAGGTAGCAGACTCAAGTTCGAATGCCTCGGAGGAGGCCCAGTCACAAACTCCTGCTCGGCAGAGAGGCAACTCAACCCACGCCCGAAGCGCGGCAACAAATTTCAACAGCACCCCCACCCAGCCGCGACCATCCCCACAGACTCGTACCGCTCCCAACAACCCCGACACCACAGCCAACCACCCCGCCCAACGAAACCTGACACAAACACCCACGATTGCGCCACGAACTGCAGCGAGGGGTAACCCACAGCAGTCACACCCCCCCCAGAAATCGCCTGAAGCCCTCGCCAAAGATGACACGCTCTTCACGAGCGTGAGTGCCTGGAACCTGGACAAGCTTCGCGATAGTCGCAATGCACCTCTGGCACGCCGCCTTCCGGAAAAACTGCGACTGCTTTTCGCGATGGTTTTGCTGACTCCTCTGCTGCGACTCGCCGACGACCCTGATTCCATCCAAGCCTGGATGGTATTGTTGTTTGCCGCTCGCCTGACACTGCGTCAGCAGTCGCCGAAGCATCCTGACTGGAAGGCGACCAGGAGCAGACTGCGTAAATTCCTGCGAGGGGAATGGGAATCCCTTTACCAGGAAACAGTGGATTCGCTGGACCTTCCCCCCCCCCCAAGACACCAGTCGGACGACCTGGGGGTTATTTCCAGGGCTGAAGGACTGGCGCGACGTGGCAGTCTGAGGAGGGCTGTCTTGGCACTTGAAGCCACACCAGTCAGCAAGCCGTCGCC